CCTACATCTGTCCGATGAGCAGGGAGCCCTCACAGTGAGGGTAGTTTTTCCCAGAGCCCCCCAATCACTGATGCTGAGTCAAGGCTCCAATCCAGAAGTCAGACCTCAGAGCCTGACCTGTGGTTCCCCTCCCTGCCCGGCCCCTCTCCATGTCCCTTACCCTGCTCCTCCCCATCCCAGGTCCCAGCCTCCTGAGCCCCTGAGTCACGGCCCTGCCTCCTGTCCCCAGGTGCTCCGAGCGCTCAGGTCGTCCCCGGGGAGAAATCTGCATCTTTTGAAATTAGAGGCTGCGTGTGCATGGGGCGTGGTGGGGGGGGGCACTGAAATATGTCCCTGTTTTCCAAACCTCAGTGTAAGAAAAATGGAAAATACATCAATATTATATATATTTAATTCACATTGAAATGATAATACTTTCAACTAAGGCAGTTAAACAAAATCTACTATGAAACTAATGCCACTGGTCTTTTCCCATTTGTCAGTGTGGCTCCTGGAAAACATAGGTGATGTGTGTGGTTCACAGTTTTATTTCTGTTGAACAGGACGCCCTGCAAGTCGCTGTATCCATCACCTGCTTTTGAAATAGCAGAGAGAACTTTCTGGCACCTTAAGGAGCAGACACATCTCAGCACTGAGAGCACAAAGAGAGGCTGAGGATTGTGGTGACCCCCTCACCACCCCTGAGCACCCCCCCTGGGTGCTGCCACTCTGCACTGGTGACCTCAGCCCAGGGCCCCAGCATCCGGGCCTCAGCCTCCCCGTCTGTGACAGGGCTGATGAGGGGACTGCGTGGCACACAGAGCCCCTGCGGCCACACAGCTGAGAGACTGAGGCGCTGGGAGCGGGGCTGGCACCTGTGGGGCAGCAGTGAGTGTCTGCCCCCCTCCCGTCCATGCCCTCCATGCCCACCCTGGCAGGGCACGCAGGGCAAAGGCCCTGGGTGATGGGTGAAGAGAGTGGTGGGGAGCGAGGGCCTGGGTTTGGGACATGTGACACTGGAAGTGTTTCTTGGCAACACTGACACACACACACACACACACACACTGTAGGCACATACACACTCGTCTGGGCACACACACATGCCCTTCACACAAGTCCCGGGAGGTCACTGTCCCCAGCACCCTGTTCTGGTCACCAGAAATGAGAGTTGTGGGTGAAATTAATTCAGACCAGGTCACACTGGAGCATGGAGGGCCCTTACCCCATTGGATGGGTGACATGATAAAAAGGGAAATGTGGGAACAGGTGCTCGCCAGGGAGACCACCCAGTGAGGAGGGAGGCAGAGTCTGTCAGCTGAGGTCAGTAGAGATGCCAGGGACCCCCAGCAGCTGGAAGGGAGGCAGGGGAGACTCTCCTCCACAGGCCACAGACCACCGACCCAGCGGACCACAGATCTCACACTGTCACCCTCAGATCCGAGATAGTAAATCTCTGTGTCACCCCCGTGGTGGGGTCTGTGACTGCAGCCCCAGCACCTGCACAGTCCCCTCCAAGGACATGGCTCTGAGGACTGTTGCATCCAGCAAACTCAAGAATGAATATTGGAGACTTTCAGGGTACCAAAGATGTTACTTTATTGGCCAAGTTTAACCTGCGCAGGGGCGAACTCTCCAAACGTGCCAGAGGCACACGGCTATTAGGAGCCACAACTGAGAGCCGTGCCCAGCGCTTACAACTACGTCCTTATATATGGGCAGGTAAGCAAGCGTTATACAGAAGCAGACGTGGCAGTTAGTAATTCGCTTACAAAGGCCGCGCGCGGGAATTTCAAACCAAGCATTCTTTCATAAGGCGGGAAAGCTGTTTGTTCATTAACCTAGTAATCTGGCTCCAGCCAGCTAGCCTTCTATCTTCTTACTAAAAAAAACTACAAAGCACTGCTTATCTAGCCTTCCCTGGGGGAGAGCGTCTGCTAGATACAGGGAGCTCTGCTTACTGTACTCTGTCTCTTTGATCATTTCTTATTTTAGCTACAATGTAGTTCTCGCCTATTAAGGTTAAACTTAGTTCTTAATTTCCTTGTTCCCAACAAGGACACCAGCTGCTTCTGTGTCCCTGATCACCACCCCCTGGAGTGGGGCTCCTGCCCTTAGCTCCCTCCCCTGAGGGGCTGACCCTGCTCCCGGGAGCTGCCTCTGTCCCCACACAGCACAGTCTTCCCTGCACCCTGAGACCTGGGTCCCCCTTGCAGCTCCTTCTGGGGTCACAGTGAGGAGAGCTCACAGGTCCCTAGGGTGTGTGCTGGCCCACAGGAGCGTCTGCAGTGCCCAGTGTGAGGGTTGCCCTGACAGCAGGTGCTCCCAGTCACTGCTCTGCGGGGCCCTGTGGGCGTCTCCCCTCCCAGGACTGAGCCTGAGGGGCTGGAGGGGACGGCTGAGATGGGGGCTGTGCTCAGAGCTGCAGAGGGTCCTGGGGTCTGACGAGTTCCCTCAGGAAAAGTGTGTCACCCAGTGTTTGCGTCATGGATGGCCTCCCTGGGGAGGGGACTCTTCTCCGGGACCTTAAAGGGAAAGGTGGAGTCAGCCAGGTGGGCATCGGTATCCTGTGGAGGATGAGGGTGGGAGCTGGGATCACCTGCCTGTGGGGAGCAGAGAGGAGGACTCAGGAGGAGGAGGAGGGAGCCCCTTTGACAGGAGGACCTGGGGCTCTAGCAGGGCTCCTGGCATCTGGGTGCAGGTGAAGGCTGACCTGCAGCCAGTAGGAGCCCCCTCCCCGATCTGCATCCTCAGGGATCCCAGGGAGGGCAAGGTCAATTGTCCCTGTTATCTCCCCTGGTGATGGGAAGAGAGGACAGACCTGAACCGCTGGACAGAGAGGCCAGGTCCTAGGACAGACTGGAGCCTGTGGCTGGAGGCAACATCTCCAGGTGGCGCCCTGCTCTGGTCACACCCAGACTCTGAAGGTTGGGGACATCTCCTGCACCTAACTTTCCTGCACTGTCCTGCTGTGTCTGAGCTCACAGACCACAGTGGGGACAGGGTTGTTCCCAGGTGGCTTCATGAGCTCATGTTCAGAAGGACACACTGTGCCCCATGGTGGGAGGGAGGAAGGGACTTAGTTCTTCAGCCTTGAACCTAGAAGTTTTCCCATGTCGGGAGAGGGGACAACATGGCAGGGGACAGGCAGAGAGGAGGGCCAGCCCAGGATGGATTGTGTCCCCTTCCCAGCACTGGGACACTGTGGCAAAGAGCCCCGTCCCCGCCCTGCATGGGAACCTCCATAGTTACCAGCCTCAGAGCTGCATGGAACTCAGACAGAGGCTCAGAGAGGCCGGGTTATACCGGGGGGTCTGTGCGGTTTGCTTCCTGACCTTCTATCTCAGCCCTTTAGCATGTGGACAGGTGGTTCTGGTACAGGAGACAGTTTCCAATGTCACTGCTGCTCCTGCACAGAATATGGTGACCATCTGTGCAGGGGCCCCACATGCTGGAGAGAAGGGAGAAGTCAGGACACAGTGGGCCCCCACCCTGATGGGAGGGACAGATGTGGGCAGGTGTGAGGGCAGGGTGAAGACCACAAGGAGCCTGGGTTACCACAGTCTGGCCGCAGCTGGGTCCAGGGGTTCCTGAAAGGTGGGTAAGGCGTCGGCGATGGGAGACAGACAACAACACGCCTCAGAGGACACTGGTGGTCTGTTCCGTTTACTGCAAGTACAAGCAGGTTTTTATACTTTCATTTTTAGCAGTGATTAACATTTGCAGTTAGGTGAAGCAGAAAAAAATTAATACAAAGGTAACCAGGAAAAATACAAAAATTCCCATAGATTCAATTATATTAAACAAAGATTATTTTGACAAGGAGAGCCATGAATCAGACAATTAAAAATAGCTATAACTACAGAATTTGAATGTCTTATTGTTTATTAAAGTTCTCAGAATTTGTCATGGGGCAAAAGGATACGCTAGATTGAATAGAGGTTATAGGAAATTTATTATAAGGCCTTTGTGATGTCTAATGTAGCTATTTACCTTTTCTGTCTAAAATATTTCTCTATGCACCATCGACTCTGACTCCCTGGTAACTGTTTCTACATGCTTAATTTATAATAGTTAACCAGCTTTTGTTATTTCTTTGCCTGTCTAATTCTACTTGATATATATTCCTATTCAAGGTAAAGGCGGGGCTGTTACTCCAACAACTTTTAGACATTCAGGGGCTATTCCATTAGAGGGGATTTTATTCTCTGGTCAAGAAATTATTTTATACAACTTCATTGGAATTATGTGAATCAATAAACCTGAGATACAGGTATCTAACAATTCCACCACCTTTTAATTACCAAAACAAATGTGTAAGGAGAGATAAACAGGAAATTCAGCTATAGTAAACCCTTTTTTGTTCCTTAGTTAATAAACACCAGGGAGGTCTGCTTCGAGCTAGCCTTTCCATGAAATTTAGACTATTATAAGGCACTTGGACTTCATCCTTATTGACCATTCTAATGCCACCCTCACTATATGCTCCTGTATAAGGCAATGGGGGATCTGGAACCCTCTGAAGACTATTAGCTCCTTTTGGGGGATACCATAATTTGCCAATAATCTAATATGCTACCCAGGGGTATCTCTGGGCTGTGGGTAGGGGTCTATATAATTTTTCTTGTTTTCTTGAAAGACTCTTTGTATCTATGGGTAAGGAGCATGTGTGGGAAAGTCCGCCAATAATTCAACCTGTTGTAACTGATTTATGAAATCTTTCATGGGAACAATCGGGGGTAATTTCTTACTCAGGTTTATAAACACCTTGTTTAAAACAATCTGGGCATGATTCAATAGTCTAGGGAGAACTAGTTGTCCCTTCAGAATTTCCCTCAAAGTCAATCATTGACTCTTTTCGAGCCTCTTTCTTCTCATGTCCTGTTCTTATGGGAATCAGGGTACAAAGTAAGACCATGATTAATATCAGCAAGGAAATTATTAAAAGCAATCCCCAGAAAAATTACCGCCCCCCTTTGTATGCCACGCTCTCTTCTAGGAAGATGGATTCCTTGAATGCCCTCTTTCCATGTTCAGACCTTGTCAAAAAACATGGTTGGAAGAGGGCGTGGCAGAGGCCAAACTTGTTCCTGACCAAGGACAGCCTGGTGACCAGTCCTGGACCCAAGCAGGGAGAATCCCCTTCCCTTGGAGAGTCTCCTGAAGTGTCTGTGCTGCTCCAGGCAGGGACCAGAGGTTCCGACTCTGCCCTCTTCCCCTAGATGGCCCTGAGCAGAGCAGCTGCAGCCCCAGGGTCAGAGAGCACCCAGCGGTGGGAACAAGAGGCAGGGTGTGGCAAATCAGGGTGTCTTTTCCTACCCAGACAGGGGGTCAGCCCCAGGATCCCTGCCAACAGTGAGGTGACCTGCATTTCAGGTGAAGCACTCACGTGTTCCTGTCAGGGTCCAGCAGTGACACTGTGTGAGTCTGACTGTCACAATGTGCTCATTGGGTCGCAGGGAACAGATGGAACTTCCTGAAGTCCAGCATCTGCACTGGGCCTTGGAACTGCTGACCCCAGGGCTGGTCTCCCTCTGAGGTTCCAGCTGGGCAGCCCCAGCTTCTGCCCAGGCTGCTCCTGGATGCAGCTCTGCTGCCTCCTGCTGGTGGGAGAATGCAGACTTGGAGTTTCCCTCTTGCAGGTCACCCAGAGTGCTTGTCACCTGAGAGGGTGTGACCCCTGGGCTGCACGTGCAGCCCTGCTCTGAGAGGTCACATAAGGTTTGCAGGAAGGTGGGAGGTGCAGTTGATGGTCTCCTCTACATGGGTTTGAGGAGTTTGGTTGTGAAGTGTGTTGGAGCTGCTTTCTTTATGTTTTAGGTGCTGGGGTGTGTCGTGTTTCTTGGATCTGTGGGTTCCTAATGCTCACCAAAATGAGAACATTTTTGGCCCATATTTGTTCAAACGTTTTTCCTTTCTACTCTCCCCACCCCACCCTTCACATCTGTTTCAGAATCCCAGGCAGCCGTCAGATCCCGCGGCCTCAGGAGCTCAGAGCAGGAGGACAGTTCTGGGGACTGATTCAGAGCCGTGGGCCCGTGAGTGACACAGCCTCCATCACATGGACATGCAGTGTCCTTCACCGCTGCGTGGATGTCTCCCTCTGTGTCCTTCCTTTCAGGCCCTGTGTCCCTACTCACATCTTGGCCTTGAAATCCCCAGCACATCCTGGTCCTGCCAGCCCTGAATGCACTGCTGTCCCGCCCTCTGCAGAGCTGGCTGAGGGTGGGGATGAGGGGGCAGCCTGGGGATCTCAGACCTGGGGCCTGAGTCAGACCAGCTCATGGCTTTGTCTGTGGTTTGCACTTGGGCAGGAGGAGAGTGTGCACAGATGAGGAAGGGGTTTTTGTCTCACTTCCCTGTGTGCCTGTGTCACTGTGAGTATTACTGCCATCAGATGTGTAACAGTAATAGTCAGCCTCATCCTCAGCTTGGGCCCTTATGATGGTCAAGGTGTCCATGTCCCCTGAGTAAAAACTAGAGAATCGATCAGGGAACACTGAAGTCCGGTTCCTGTCAGAATAGATGAACAGCATAGGGGCATGGCCTGTCTTCTGCTGGTACCAGCTAACATGATAGCTCTTGGGCAACTCTCCCTGGCAGGTGATCTTGGCTGCCTGTCCCAAGGTCACAGACACTGCTGACGGCTGATTCACTTTAGAAGAGGCTACGGAACCTATAAGAGAGGACAGGAGAGGTGAGTGTGAGGATGAGGGTCTCCTTCCCAGACTGCATACACCCTGCAGGGTCCCCTGCGCTGAGCAAAGTTCAGGGCCAGGTTGCTCCCTGGTTTCTGTGGGGGCTTAGCCTTGGGAGTCAGCACCTGTGCAGAGAGTGAGGAGGGGGAGCAGGAGAGGGGTCCAGGCCATGGTGGAGAAGCCCCAGGATCTTCCTCTGACCCACAGGTGACGATGTGGCTTCGGAGCCTGTCTTATCCTGCTTAAGGGGCTCCATGCAAATCCACTTCCTTCCCCTTGTGGCCTTGCTGAGTGACACCTGCTGGGCACAGAGCAGCTGGGGCCAGTAGAGGGTTTAAAGTTGGGTCCTCACCTCGAGGTCTGTGCCCGGGTTGCTCAGAGCTCTCTGTGGTGTTGAGGGGACAGTGCTGACCCCTGACCAGCCCCTGCACCCACAGGTGGGCTGAGTCTCCTGTCTGGTCTTGGGGAGAAGGCTCAGTCCCCTCCAGGGATGAGATCACAGTGTGGTGTGGGGTGGGGGTGCTGGAAACAGGAGCCGGTAGGGACAGTGGTCAAGCTGGTGAAAGAGGCTGGAATTTGCCCCAGGACACAGGGACACTGGTCACGTGCCTCTGAGGGAATTTCCATTACACTTTAGAAAAAAAAAAGAAAAATCTTTTTCGTGTTGGTCTGGGCAAGAATTCTTAGATTTCATAGAAATACTTAACATGTAAAAGGATAGAAAATACATGGAAACTCTTTAAAATTAAAAGCTTTGTTTTACAAAAGTCTCTTTTATGGAGTTAATGTGAAAAAAACAATACAGTGGGAGAAAGTACTTGGTAATCCCAATCCATCAAGGAAGTATTTGTGTAAAGTGTTGAAACTAATTAATACACACAGCAAACAGCCCTGGCCAGGGGGCTCAGTTGGTTGGAGCAGCATCCAAACGCAGCAGGGGTTCGGGTCTGACCCCTGGTTGAGGGGCAGACGGGAGTCGGCCAATGAGGGCGTGGATGGGCGGAGCAACAGATGCATGTTTTTCTCAGATCATTTAAAAAGTTTAAAAATAAACAAAGCAAACAAAATTCAATTTGATAATGAGCAAATGACACAGACAGTTGATGGAAAAATATACACATGTCAAAAAAACACAGAAAAATGTTCATCAGGAGCCACCAGGGAAGGTAAGTTAAAACCAGAGCGAGACACCTGCACACCGGTCAGCATTGAGCAGACTGACTGAGGTGAAATTGGGGCAGCACCAGACACTGGTCAGGCAGCGAGAAGGGGGTCACTCACTCAGGGCCGGTAGGAAGGTCAGATGGCAGAGCCACAGTGGAAAACCAGCCGTGTGCTTAGTATAACATGAACATGCAGTTACCATACAACCAGTCACTGCATCACTGGGCATTGATCTCAGAAAATTAAAAACTTATGTTTACATAGAAACCCATACACAGGTGTTCACAGCACCTGTCTAGTCTGCTCAGGCTGTGGTAACCAAACACCAGTGAGTTGCTTAAAGTTGGAAGAGAGAGAGAGAGAGAATGACAGAGAGAGACAGAGAGAGACAGTCTGGTCAGTGATCCCACCAGACCAGAGCCCCACCCATGACACATCCTGTGGCTCTCATCACTTCCCTAGAGTCCCTGCCTCCACATGCAGCTACACTGGGAGTAAGGACTTCAACGTCCGAACTTCAGAAGACACAATCACTCAGTTGATGCCAGCGCCCTTACACATAGGAGCCCCAAACTGAAAACAACTCAGATGTCCTTCAAGATGATGGTTAAACAGACACTAGTACATGTGAATCACAGAATATTATTCAGTAAAAAAAAATGGACTATTGATGAACACAACATCCTTGATGCGTGTATGAGGAAATATGAATAAATGAGCAATCAAAACACATTACATTCTGTACGATTATTTATACAGAATTTTTCCAATGACAGACTTTGAGAGATGGAGAACCAGGTGATGGCTGCAGGGCTGAGGGGCAGGGGAAGGGCCTGGGTGGGAGGAGGTGGGTGTTGTAAAAGGAAAACATGAAGAGTCCACGTGTGATGGGACTGCGGGGAATCCTGACCACTGTGGTAGGCACATGAGCCTGCGTGTGGGAGAGAAGGCCTTAGCTCTGACTGGTGTGACTCATTTGGTCAGAACATCATCCTCTGATCACAAGGGTGTGAGTTCAGTCCCCGGTCTGGGTGCATATGAGAGGCAATCAATCAATGTTCTCTCTCTCTCATGGATGTTTCTCTCTCTCCCTTCCCCTCTGTCCCTTTCTTTGTCACTAAAAGCAATGAAAAAAGGTACTTGGGTGAGGAAAATAAATAAATAAAGTGTGTAAGAAGAAATATACACTTATATACCCACAAACAGGAGGATCCAAATTTTTAAAAATATCTATAGATTTGATCCAACACATCACCAAGAAAGAAGATGCACATGTGAAAATAGGCACCTGAAGATCTCCTCACCATCACAAGTCACTAAGGTGATGAACACGACAGACATACACAGAGCACAAACCATGTGGAACGAGAAGAAAGTAGAGGAAGGGGTGCATGACCCGGGGTCAGGTAAGACAGGGTCAGCTGCTCTGGAGGGATGACACAGAACCTGACTAACAGGGAGAAAGCCAGATCTCACCAGAGTGACAGACAGACAGACAGAGACAGAGAGTGACAGTCTGAGAGATGCAGAATGCGCCAAGGGAAGGGGACAGCTCACCACACACACTCTCACTTTCGGCCCAGCCTGCCTGTCACCCCCTCAGCCACATCCCCTCCAGCTGCCTCCCAGGGCAGGTCCTGGCACCTGGTTCAGCTGCTCCCTGGAGTTACTGTCAAGAGCTCAGCAGGCTTTAATTATTCCCCTACTGTACCAGTGACACCGTGTGATGTCCATTCCGGAGATCCCAGCTACAAGTCCTGGGATGAATCCCACAATCATGAGACAGGACTGGCCTGAACCTGTTCAGGTGAGTGCCCAGCCTTGCCGCTCACCTACCTGTGAGCAGCAACCAGATCACTGTGGTCCACGCAGCTGCTCCAGGCTGACTCTGTTGTGTTGGTGTGAGTGAAAGGTTCTGGTATTTCAGTTCCTGGGAAAGTCAGCAGAATATCAACCCATCCACTAAGGTGATGAATGCTTCTCACTCTCATGAATGTTTCTCCATCCCCTCACAGATGCGGCTGAGGCCAGTGACCCACAGGGCAGAGACTGGAGGTAGGAGGTCATTGACATATTTTCCACCTCAGCATTTCCATCCCCCGTGTCCCAGTGGACATTGTCCTGGCCTGTCCCTAGAAAACTCCCGTGGGCAGACGTGGAGCCTTCCTTGGCACCACAGGCTGAGAGTCTGGCACAGCTGGGGGACCCAGCCTGTGCTCCACGCGGGTCCTACCCCAGACCTCCCAACAGGCACCCAGTTCCCTCCCGACCCAGCTCTGCTTCCAACTCGGCATCAGGTCTCTCAGTCCTGCCTCTGCTCAGGGACAAATGCTTCCTGTCAGACCTCAGTCCTGACAGTGCTCCTGCTTCACTCCCAGGTGTCCTGAGTCAAAACAGGCAGTGTTGCCACTTCCAAGGTCAACCCTGAAACACCAAGGTCTACGTTCATTCCTTGAGAAGAACCCCAAGATGGGAGCAAAGGCCAGATGGCACCTGGGGTCGGTCATCTCAGCCCAGCCACTCGCTCAGGGTCATGTTCCTGCCTGGCCTGCTCGGGTGTCACAGAGTCCTGCCTACAGCCTTTGATTGGGGTAAACAGGGCATTGCTTTGTGAAAATGATCTGCACTGTGACTATATCTGAGATTTTCAAATGGTGATTTGAGGAGGAAGTACAGGACGATGGGATTTGCAGGGGAAGATGTAAATGTCTCAGGGTCCTGGCCAAGGACAGGGAGCAGCTTAGCCCAAGTCCCAGTGGGGGAGAGGATGGGGGATGGAGGTGTGGGCCTCACTCCTCTTTGGTCTGTGTCTCTGCAGCTTCTGTGAAAAGGCTGTTGTGTGTGTGGCTCTCACCACAGACATAGTCAGTCTCGTCCTCAGACTGGAGGCTGGAGATGGTTAAGTAGCAGTTGGCCCCAGAGCTGGAGCCCGAGAAGTCATCAGGGATCCTGTCCCCCTTCTTCTGGCTTCCGTCACTCTTAATGTACATCACGTACCGAGGGCCATTTCCCAGTCTCTGTTGATACCAGGGAATGGTATAGCTGCTGTGCTCACTGCTGAGGGTGCAGGGGAGCTGGGCAGAGGCTCCCGGGGAGGCAGAAGCAGACGGGGGCTGGGTCAGCACAGGTGCAGCACAGAGACCTGCAGACACAAAACACGGAGATGATGCCAAAGGCACCCAGACTGGACAGACGCCCCTTGGGACTGTGCTTGGAAGGAAACTGTTGGGGAGTGGGACCCCTGTGTGTCCAGGGATGGTCTGACCTGTGGAGAAAACCAGGCGCAGGAGGGAGAAGGGAGCCTAGTCCATGGTGGGAGGGGCTTCCAGGAGCTCTGCCCTGAGGCTGCCCAGCTGGCCCTGGCCTCTCCAAGCCCCTGTCTTATCCTCTGTCCCTTGTAGCTCAACAGGGAGGAGCATGAATGCAAATCTGTCTCAGATCTTCTCTCAACCCCAAGCCTGACAATCTCCTGCTGGTAATTTCCAGAGGAGGAGGATGGTCCAGGTGTTGGTATCATTAAGAGTTGATTTTACCCAATAAAACTGTCTCCAAAGAAGCATCAGTCACACCCTTTGCACTGAGCACACTCCAGGGTCTTGCACTATCAGAGATCCCCAGGCAAGACCCACAGTGCCCCCTGGTGCCCCCAGGATGAATGTGATTCTCTATGCCAGTAGCTCAACCTACTGACTACTTTGGAGGCCTTAATAGGTGTCACATGGTTGGTGAGTGTTTGACCTGCACCCCTCACCAGACATCATAATTATCCAACATCATCCTTCTGCTGATGTTCTGTCCAAAGAGCAGGGGGCCATCCTTGCAAGGTTATGATTTCCCCAGAGTCCCCCCAGACAGTGATGCTGAGTCAAGGCTCCAATCCAGGGATGCAGGAGCTGGACCTCAGGGCCTGACCTGTGAATCCCCTCCCTGCTCAGCCCTTCTCCATGTGCCTTATCCTGTTCCTCTCCTGTCCCACGTCCCCGTCTCCTGAGTCCCTGAGTCACAGCCCTGCCTTCTGTGTGCAGGTGCTCTATCCCCCTGAGTCTGCTCTGAAGTGCGCTCAGATTTTCTCGGTGTTGGAATCTGTGTTTCCCAGTGAAACCCGGGTCTCTTTGTGCACGGAGGTGGGGCCACGTCCACCACCAAAGACAACACAGCGAGACATTGGGGATCAGGTTGGGATCCTTGGGAGAATTGGTACAGAATGTCTTTTGTAACATTGTCAAGGCCATTGAGTTTGCATGACTATCAGGATAGGACGAGAAATCTTTTAATATTAATAAATATGATTGACAAGGCACATTGTGGCCTAATATCAGAAACAAATGTATTTGTTTGCACATCAGTACTGCTGAGAATATAATGTAATTAGTTCACCTGGGAAATTCTGGAGGCCTTGTCCTTGGAGGTGATGGTGTAGCCCGGCTGTGACTCATGTGCACAGACAGACAGAGAGACCCCTGACTCACTCCCCGAGTTTGGTCTGAGAGACAGTGGAGAGGGGACCAGGGTCTGGTGCCTGAGACACGCTCCCCACTGTCCCCAGCTGAGGGGAGCACAGCAGCTCCTCTCTGCCCTTCCCTCCCTGGGGTGTTCACTCCTCACACTCACACCTCAGGGTCCCCATGGGGCCCGCTGGCCCCTCCTGCAGGCCAGTGCTCACACCTTTGCTGTGGGTCTCCTGACCCCCTTGGAGGTCAGCTGTGAGTGCCATCCTGGAAGATTTCATCTTCAAACCATGACCTGTGCTTGTGAGTTAGGCAAATGTATCCAGCTGTGGGAAATAGCAAGTGACACCAAATCAATAAAATCCATCTAGTACCCTCCTTCCGTCTAGATCTCTGCACAAAATGTAACCTTATGACTTGTACTTATGTTCCTGGAAATGATCTGCCCACTGAAGGGGTTTCTTGTAGCAACAACTATTTACAAATGTATGTAGACTGTGTCATTCTTTACACTAGTAATAAAAATGTGCTCCATGGCTCAGAATCATGTTTAAAATTGCTCTTGTATTTAATATCAGGTCCTTGAGGAGAGAAGTACTGTGAACACGATATAATAATTTTCTCATATTGTCCTCAATATTTCTGGTTTAGTTGGCAACTGAAGCAAACATTCCTCCCCTAGTGACGTCTGGTCACAGGATCCCCGCCCTCCTCATGCCCTGGTGGCTGCAGGGATGCACTAAAGGGTCAGTGACATTGTCCTCTGCCCCCAGCCCAAAGAGGACATGTCTCCCATCTGACCTGCTCTGACCAATGTGGTGTCCACCAGCCACATGCACCTACTGAGGATGAAATGTGGGCGGTTCCAGTAGGAGGTGCTGTAGTCTGAAACACCCACCAGATTTTAAGATTTATTATGAAATAATGTAAAATTATCCACATTTTAATATTTAATTTGTACAGAAACATTTCCACTAACAGAATTAAACAGAATATATCCTGTAAATTAATCCCACCCATTTCCTGTCCTCCAGCTGTCACTAGGCCTGAGTCACACCCAGAGACAGTGCTGAACCAGGGGGCAGTTCCCTGTAACCATTTCACTTCCTGGGAGGGCCGAGCTGAGAGCAGCCAGGGGCCTGCAGCTGTGGTGGGTGGGCATGTGGGACCCGACTGGGCACCAGGGGGTCTCACAGTGTCTGCTGCACTGGTCGGCTCCATTCAGAGTCCTGGGCGGCCTCGGAGCTCGGGCCTCAGGAGCTCAGTGGAGCTGGCAGCTCTGGGGATGAATCCAGAGCATTTTCACAGGGAGCAGCCCAGTCACGATAATATGGATTGCAGGTCCGTCACTTCTGGACACAGGACTCAAGCAGGCTGTCATTTTGTGAGGCCCTCTTTTTAGAATTGAGTCTGTCACACAGACACAGCATGCCAGCCTGGTCCTGCCACCCTGAATCCAGTCCTGACCCACCCTCTGCACAGCTGACTGAGGCTGGGAGGAGGGGCCACTGGGAGACCTGAGAAAGGGGACCTGGGCCAAGGCTGCTCATGGCTTTATCTGCAGTCCTCCTGGGGCCTGAGGAGAGCTTGACACAGACTGAGGTTTTTGTCTCACTTCCCCGTCTGCCTGTGCCACCGTGAGTATTAGTACCACTACTATATGCTGCACAGTAGTAGTCAGCCTCGTCCTGGGCCTGGACCCCGCTGATGGTCAGGGTGGCCGTGTTCCCCGAGTTGGAGCCTGAGAACCGGTCAGGGATACCTGACGGCCGGTTGCTATCCCAGTAGATGATGGTTACAGGGGCCTGGCCGGGCTTCTGCTGGTACCAGGAAACACTTTTACCTCCAATGTTGTCTCCCCCACAGGTGATCCTGGCTGTCTGTCCTGGCTGCACTGACATCGAGGGTGGCTGTGTCACCTCATAGGAGGCCACAGACCCTGCAAGAGAGAAAAGGAGAGGTGGGCTTAAGGATGAAGGACCCCTTCCTAGGAAACCCGGGCCTGCCCTTGTTGGAAGATCTACATGGATTCTGAGACTGGGCCATGAGTCTCAGCCCAAGTGTCCCACTGATGAGCTGACCCATGAAGCCTGTGAAGAAATGGGGACCCTCCTGTCCCATTCTCCTGGCAGGTGCAGCCCCTCAGGGTCCCTCAGACCAGTGAGCACAGTGGAGGGTACAGCACCCCCATCCCCTCATCCTGCAGCAGAGCCCAGGGCATCTGGAGTCCACAGACAGTGCTCTGCTGAGCTCAGAGTCAGGGTCAGCCTTGTCCAGATCCCTGGGGCTGGGGGAGGGTGGGAGCCAGGGCTCAGCACCTGTGCAGTGAGCAAGCAGGCTGAGGAGGAGAGGGGTCCAGGTCATGGTGGAGGTGCCCCACGTCTGATCCCTGAGGCCCCAGGCTGGGCAGCTCTCCTCCCAGGCTTCTCTTATCCCCTTGCTGGAGAGACAGCTGCTGGGTATGCAAATCAGCCAGGGCTCAGGGGAGCTGCCTGAGGAGCTGTATGGTTCCTGCTGGGGGCTCAGCCTGAGAGACTCAGGGAAGAGAGGGTGGTCCCTGCAGACCCCACCTCATTCCCAGGGCATCCAGTTCATCCACTGGTGCCACAGCATGGACTGAGATCTCCACCCCAGAGTGTCTCATGGCCTCACTCCTGGGCTGGCCTGGTCCCAGCAGAGCTCAGAGGTGATGTCTGTCCACATGTTCTGCACCCACTATGGAGCGTTAACTGTAGCGGTGACGATATGAGCCTGAGGTCTGAGCAGGGTCCCACCCCAGTGACAGTGTGTGAGCATCAGAGCCTGAGGGACACTCCCACCTTGCTCACGGCACATGCAGCACTTGGAGCCTCTGAGATGCTGTCAGTTTTTAACTTGGTTCCAACTCCTGGGACAGGTGACAGATGCTGTGCCCCATGTCCCCAGTGTGTGCCATTGCCAGGGTCAGCCCCAGTGCTAGAAGAGGTGTGACAGTTACAGAGTGTGAGCACAAATGGGGTGTTCAGGACAGGAATGAATTACCCGGACCTGTGATGGTAAAACAGGCCAATTGTACAAGAACCCAATCTGAGAGACTCACAGTCAGTATGTTATGTCATCAGTGTCAAAGGTGATAATGTAGAAAACATACCACTCTTTTTAAAAATGGGACATACTGGTTAATATTTCTCTGTTTTACCACAATATTTTCATTATTAATAAAGGGATAGAGAGTCCAAAACATAAATTATAATAATCCCCCTGCATGGTAGAATTCCTCAGGCCCAGGCCCTCCCAGTCTCCAGGAGGCTTTGTCAGGTGGTCTCTGCTGCCCCCTGGTGGCCTCTCTACACTGGCTGCTGGAGGAGCAGGTGTGTGCTTTGTCCAGGTGCAGAGTCTGAACCCACTACTCACATGGTAACTCCCTGATCCAGGGACTGAGGGTCCCAGGGGGGATTGCTGTTCTCTCCATAGCCACTGCTGGCCTCAAGACCAGGCACAGGAGGCTCAGATCACCCATGGAAGTACAAATAGGCTCATTGGGAGGAGGAGAGGGCCGGCCCACCTGAAGCATCTCTGACATATCCCTTGGGTGGCAGTGTTCCTGGGTGTGGTTCTGGGGACAGAGGACTCAGAGGCTGCCTCTCCCTGATGCTCACTGCTAGTACACGTTGAAAAGAGGGTGCTGGTGGCAATTGCCCTAAAGACTGAGGCAGGAGACACTCATCCAGCAAATGGTGATTCGGCCCCACTCTGCCTGCCAGACACTGCGTCCTGGGTGAGACATGTGAACGGGACCAGTCCTGCCTCAGAGATGCCAGTGTGCACATGGGGGCACACAGTGGACATGCTGGTGTGGGTGACACAGCACAGTCACCGCCAACTTCTACTTGTATCTTGTCTGCCTTCCTCATAACAGCAGATGCTAGCTCTTCCCTGGTCTCTGTTGGCTGTTGTTGAATTTTGGTGCCTTGCTGATTACTGGACGTGTCACTCAGCTGGATGCTTTCCCTAAGAACTTTGGATCTTGTGAAGGAATGGTTCAGTCTAGATTTGTGCAGCTCCTGTCCCCTTGACCCTGGGAGTGACAGCTGAGTTGCAGCGGCCACGCCGAGGTCCCTCTGCAACAAGGGTGAGAGCAGAGCCTCCATTGGCCAGATGTAGGTAAAGAAAGTGAGAGGGACTGGGGACCTCAGAGGGCTGATGATGTCTGTGGAACACCCACTACACCCACTGGCGCCCGGACTTATTGCAGGAGGAATTGAGGCTCCTGTCTGTCCACGTCTGTCCTCCCATAGGCAGGAGCCATGCATCTGGGAAGCAGAGGGTGGACAGGGGAGAAACACTGCTTGCTACCATCCCTAGGGGGCCACCAGCAAGGCTTTTCCTCTTCATCCCCGATACTTTATGGTCTGCACGATGCATGAAATTAGCTATTGAGGCTCTTCCAAGGCCCCTCCTGACTCCTCCTGACAGTGAATCATTGGGCAAAATTGGGGTGTTGTCTGGGGTGGGAGGATTGCGTTCCTTCCGCACACAGGGGTGAGCAGGGGGATGAATGGAATGAAGGGGACCCTCCATTACTCCCTGTGTCTGTGATCACAGTTATAAAATCCCAACAACTCAACTCTGCAGGGCCGATAATGAACCAACACCTTCCAGAATGAAGGTGTGGTCAATGCACCTGACATGAGATCACGACCAGCTATGGTATTGGCTGAGGGCAATGGGCATATGGAGAGGGTAGGGGAGAAGGTAATTGTAAGTACCATCTCTGACTGCAGGGTGGTTGTGGAAATGAGGATTATAGAAGTATCAATATTTCTTTCTTATATTAATAATGCATACGTTTGGATACATATTAATCATATATTTTTGTAAATTTACCCTGTGTCATTCCACTTTTATTTAACATGAGACATGTTATCAGTAGCCAACTTTATATCTCAATATTGAAGTTATAAAGTATCAATACAACTGGGAGACACTAGCAAATAAAAAGGTATTTTGTATTCTCTTGAGGGAAAGGCTGAGCATGTTTGTGGTTGTTCATGGGATAGTTTCATCATATTTGGTGGGAACATGACTATGGTTATATTCCTCAGTTTGGAAATTGTGTGGGTTGTGGAGATGTGAGCAGGTTTGTGGTGACAAGGGGTGGACTATGCTGGCTTATTAAGTGTCACTGTTGACAAGCGCAACTGTATTTCACAGAATTATTTTCTCTGTATATTTGTGGGTAGGGTGGGCATAAAAAAGAGGTTCTTATGCAGATTCAGAGGGCAGAAGAGAAGCAGCACCCACAGTGAAGCTCACACCATGGGGGTGTATCTGCTGGATCACTTCGTAGGAGGACACGACAGCCCCGGTTTCCTTGGAGTCACTTCAGGATGGTGCTGCCTCGCCCCCTGTCTCTCCCCCTGTCTCTCCCGCTGTCTCTCCCCCTGTGTCTCCCACTGTCTCTCCCAGAGCCCATGGCACCTACTGCGCTAGACTCTCTTGCATTCTGTAAAAAGCATAGGGAACAATCAGCTCTATCTGGGGACGGTAACTCGTACATGGTGGATTTAGGTGGGAACCAGAGCTCTGTGGGTGTCCAGGGACCACCTCAGTCCCCGATGGCCATTTTTGGGATAGTGGGCCTCCGGGCCTGGGTTCCCCGGGAGCAGACCGTGAGATGGAGAGCGGCGTGTGCAGGAAATCTGAAAGAAGTGAGGGAGGGGAGGCTGGGACAAAGGAGAAGGTGGCACCCAGGAGGTTCCTCCAAGGCCTGAGGATCCTCCAGGGGGCTCTAAAGCTGTCATCTTTTTGTCGCCCTAACTGAGGCAGGGCCTTGGGTCCTTGGCCCCAGGCAGTCATCACACTGACCTCTCTGAGAAGGGCACGGAGGTCTGGAGGTCAGGCAGCTGAAGAAGTGGCCTAGTGACCACCATATGGAAAATCAAGGACAATGACCATGGGTGGCGATCTCCTTTTTCCTGTGTCCTCGGTCCCCAGGTCACACCCAGACCCAGACAACATCAGGGCAGCCCCGTCCTGCCAGGCTTGGATCCCCTCCTGACCCACCCTCTGCAGAGCAGGCTGGGTCCTGAGGTCTGGGGATCTGGGCCAAACCTGTGCATGACCGCAGTCACATTTCTCCTGGGGCTGGAGGAGACTGTGACACAGATGGGGAAGGGGTTTGTGTCTCACTTCCCCATCGGCCTGTGTCACTGTGAGTATCACCGCTGCTGTCCCATGACTGACAGTGATAGTCAGCCTCATCCTCGGCCTGAGCCCTGCTGATGGTCAGGGTGGCTGTCTTCCCCGAGTTGGAGCCAGAGAATCGGTCAGGGATCCCCGAGGGCCGCTCGCTAAACTTATAAATGACTGGCACAGGGGCCTAGCTTGGCTTCTGCTGGTACCAAGATGTGTATTTGTTCCCTATTAAATCTCCAGAGCAAGTGACTGTGGCTGTCTCTCCCAAGGCCACTGACACCGAGGATGGCTGGGTCAGCTCGTAGGAGGCCACAGAACCTGTCAGGGAGGAGAGGAGAGAAGGCTTGAGGATGAAGCATCCACATCGAGAGGGTCCTACCCCAAGGTTGTGCCTGGGTTGAGTTCTGGCTTTGGAAAAGGACCAGCGCAGGGCCTTGTGGGAGCTGAGCTTGCAGGCAGAGCCAGGGGGCAGCGCCTGTGCAGGGAATCAGGAGGGACAGCAGGACAAGTGTCCAGGCCATGGTAATACTACCTCAAACTCTTCCTCTGAGCTCCCAGTCTAGGATCGGGCCTCAGGGTCTCTCTTATCCTCTGGAAGGGGGCAAGGATCCTCATGCAAATCTACTTCCTCCTTTCTTGTGGCTGATGGGTGTCTCCCCGCAGAGTAGCAGAGGGCTCACTTAAAGGAAGCTGCTGCATGGGCCCTATTCCTAGGGCCTGCACCCAGACCCCCAGGGCTCTCTGTGGTGTTGAGTGAGACAGCGCTAACCCCTGACCCGGCACCTGTACTCACCCTTTAGGCTGAGTCCTGGGCCTTCCCTGTGGGCCCTGGGAGCACCCGCAGCCCTCCCCTCTGGTGACGAGATCACCCGTGGGGCTAAGGGGCAGGGAGTGGTTGAAGCAGGAGCTTGTGAGACAGTGGTCATGCAGGTGTAGGTGAAGCCAAAGTCCCTTGATCAGATACGGAGAAATTGTTCATGTTCCTCTCAGGCAGTCCTTTCCTTATGTTTTAGGAAGAGAACATTGGACAACCCTTTGGCATCCAGGGCTAGGCAAGAGTTTTTCGATGATGCCAGAGCTCGATTTGTAAAGGGAATGATGAATACACTGAACCTCATCAAAGTATCTTTGCTTTGCCAATAATTCTAAAGAGGATAAAGAAAACCCAAGAAACAGAGAAAAAATTGAAAACCACATAGCCAGTGAATGTGCATTTGGAGACACGGGTCGCTCGTGCACAGCTGAGGGGAATGTGAAACAGCAC